GAAATATGGGCTTGTTTGTTGTTTGTTAGATCGGTTAGAAAGAAGAAGGATATCGCGGTTGTTAAGAATGGAGACGACGGCAATGGGGTGTTTCGGAGATGGGATGCAGAAGTTGAATGGAAGTTATGAAAGATGGTTTAGTTGAAATCTTGAGTTTGTTTTTTTCATGTTCTGTTTTTGTTGAGAAAGATGAAGTCGAATATTAGAAAATCTGGATTGAACTTGAGGTAGTGTTTGGAGTTAAGTTGAAGGTTTCGGATTTGAAGAACCGATGAAATTGTGAGAGGTTTTCTGGGTGAGTTGGATGTTGAAGTTGAATGGGTGTAGAAGGTGAAATGGTGGTGCTTCGAATACTTGCGAGAGAAATGGGCTGAGTGAGGTTCGATGGTTTGTTTCAGAGTTTTTAGGTTTGCTCTGTTGAAAGTTTGAAGGTTTTGTTTGTTGTCTTGCGTTGTATTGTGAGACTTGTCATGGGTGATGATAATAGGTGGTTCAGATGAAGTTCTGGGTTGGTTCAAGTGGTGATTTTTGAAGAGGGTTCGGATTTGTGGTGAGCTGAGTCTGGGTTGAGTTTGGAAATGGGTTTTTGTTCAAACGAGTTTGGGGTCTTGATAATGGTTATGAGTTGGTGTTCGTTTAGACTCAATGCCAGGAAACGAGATAAACAGAAACAACACAAATTAAGACTATGAAGGTAGATAGAGTGACAGAATACTTACAGAATAATACCACCAGATTGTTGATGCAGAACACAGGTGAGTTTCTTCTTCAATCTCCCTTTTTTTTCCAGTTCTTTTTGAGTGAAAGCAGCTGTTCTTTTTTTTGTAGTCACCTTTTTTCTCCAAACATTAAGCCTTTATAGTGAGGTCCATTAGGTTTAGCAGACCAACTCTTGAGGCTCTGAAACCCTCTGCACCTTAGGCTTTAGGTTTGGTCTGCTACTAACCTGTCCTATTACCAATTTTGTGCTAAGACTGTGGTGCTGTAATTGCCTACAACTGCTCTGTATTTGCCATTTTTGTGAATGTGTTTCTGCTGTCTTATTTTTCATGTCCCTGAATTTATTCATTTAAATTGAAAATATCTGATATTTTTTAACCTGCATTTTCACTGCTTCATTTGTGATTTTTTACTGCTTTGACTTATGCTGATGGGGCAACTTTTCAAACTGGAATTTTGTCAATATTCGTATGGGTGGAAGTTGATCATACTCATCCTCTTCTTCCTTGTCGTTTTCAGGAATACTACATGAATTAGTTGACAGTGGCATCTTCTCTGTATCGTGTTCATTCGAAGAAGTAATTTTCAATGGTACTGGCCGAATAATCTTCTGAGAGACTTCAGGTTCTTCATAAATTTTTATACTGCTATCTGCCTGCTGGGAGCCCAATACTACTGGAGACTGATATCTTTGAAATGTCAGCTTTCCATATCAGTGGCGTTTTGATTGCATTGTATCAACTCAAAAACTCATGTGCGCCTTCCTCTCTCCCATGTCCAAGATGACTTCCAATCTTGTGTATCTTAGATAATATCCCAATTGGAGAAAGTGGAGAATTCCCTTCTTTTGTCTTCTGAATTAGATATTCAAACTCACAGATAAAACACCATCCCTTCTTCTGACATCGTTTCGAATGGAACCCTTGCAAAAGATACGATGTTAGAGGCCGAGTATAAGCCAAGCACTGGAGAACTGCATTAGCGTAACAGCTGTTCCCACAGTTTGTAAGGCCAAAGGGAAATAGTTTCACCTTGTCGTAACAATAAAGTTCCACAAAAAGTTCATATGGAAAGCCCAACTCATTTTCAACAGATATTAGATTGGATCTTGACTCTTTTGAGATTCTAAACTGCTGGACAACTTTCTGCATTGATGATTTCAAACCATTCCGAACATTTTGTGGAAGATTTAGGAGCAACGCTAACTTTTGAAGGCAACGTATGATAATTGTCAGTTTTTGTAGACATGGTGTGTGAAACCGAATCCCCTTTAGTAGTTGAGAATAGTCTATCACGAGAACTAGATGATGATCTCCGTGCTTCTTTGTACCTGGACATATGAGGTTCTTCCACATCATCCGCTAGAATATCTATATTTGAATTACTCGAGGAAGGCACAGTCTTGCACTTAGAGGTATCAGCTATTGATTTTTCAACTGATGCAACTTTTCTTCTGTGTTCATGGCCACTCAAATTTGACGCCAAATCATGAGATGTGCCAGATTTAGTTTTTTGGAACTTTTGATTTAAATCCAACCTCATCAGAAGTGTTACTAGACTTTTTCTTGCTTCTTTTACTTGAACTAGAATTCCTAAGTTCAATATTAACAGGACTCTTCGATTCCAAGCGAGATGAGGGGGGGCAACACGGTTTCATTTTCATCATTGTCAGTTGAAGCTATGCAAGTATCATCAGCGGTATTATTACAGACAGGTTTCGTAAATGTGGCGTGACAGTTATCACCAAACGATTTTCTTGCAGCAATGTAAGATTCAACATGTTTTCCTTTGATTTCATGAAGACCAAACTGTGTTTCTGCTACTGCCGCTCTGCAAGTAATATTTCCGCCGTCAACCTCCCTGGTGGTGGTAACCGAAGGACAACATTCGTCCTTGTGACCTTGCCTCCAGTGACTAATTTGACACTTACCCGAACTACAAGAAAGCATGCTTGTGTAAATGAATAACAACTAGAGAAGTCTTGGAGACATGTAACAGTATCTAACGGCTTTGCAGCGAGAACATCTCATAGTGGTAGGAGAATAACAAACAGCACATTGATACCCTTGAGAAGCTGAAACATGAAGTGAATCCAAATCAAAAGAAGCTGAAGCTGAAGAAAAAGCAGCAGTAGTAGAAGGTTCCATTTCAGCCATGGCAGTATCTTGCACCAACCTCATAATCTCTTCTTTCTTGGCTTCAGCATTTCTTTTGATTTTTTTTTTGGCTGAATTAATTTTACGCATCTATCTCTTGTTTTGCAGGTGATGGCTGGCGGTACGGTTATGTAGAGCTTGCTTGGTTTGCTTTGGTGCATTGATGTGGTTTGGAAATTTTGTGATGTTTTCGTATATGTTGGACGTTGCGATATTGGTTTTCACTGTATGATTTGTGTACAGTTTGTTTGAATATGAAGGTTGAGACGTTGTATAACACGTTATGTGTTGTGGCTTATGGTGGATTATGCTGCAGGTTGGGATTTTGGCTTCTGCCTTTTAAATCGTGATGTGGATTTGGCTCAGGTTGTTATGAATTGAATCAAGGTGTTGCGTATTTACATTGTGACTATGTTTTATGTTGTAGTATATATTGTTTTGTGGTTTTGAAGATCGTGTGCGTGAATTTTGGGTAATGGCTTGGAGGTGAGGTCTTTTGTTCACGACTTGGTGGGGTCCTGGTGCGTTGTGGATGTGAGGGTGAATATGTTGCAGCATGCGTTGTTGTGCAGGGCTTAGATTGTGTGGATGGCTTGGTATAGTGTGGCTTGAGGGAGTTGAAGGCTTGCAGCAAAAGATGTCTTATTGTGTATGGCTGTGTGTCGTGACTTAGTTTGCAGTGTGCTGTGAATCATGTTGTATTGATTTTATGCAAGTTTTGTGTTGCTGGTGGATCGTTACAGGTACTGGTTGGTTTTGGCAGTATGTGTAGTGAAAGGTTATGCGCATAAGGTGCTTCATGATGGTTCTCAATGTTATATATGGTGCTTGTACTTGAAATTGTGTTTTTTTTTTTGTGTTAAAGTGATGTGGTATTGTTTGTATATGATAGGATTCTGGTTCTAATTTCTCTAAGTTTGTAACTGTGGTTCTGAACTTGATCTTTTTTCTTTCTTTATAATGAAATCTCATTCCAAGGGGTATAAAGGGTAACCCAACCAAGACAATTACAAAAAAAAAAAAAAAAAAATCTTTGGACCTATGTCTAATATTAGAACTGCTTTGAGCTTATCGACACCAATCCATAGCCAGCATGGTTCCCACCAATCCTACTTTAGCCATGAATGAAGCATGGAAATCATTTTGAAGTGCTTATTCTAAATTGATTCTCAAACACACATCAATTGGACCGATACTCTCTTTAACGTTGTGCTTGCACAATTCTCTGTCTTACTGACAAATTAACTCATAACCATTAAAACTCAATCCAATACCTCATACGGGACTTCATGCCTTTGTCTATCAGACCCAATTCAAATTGGTCTTATGATATTCAAACGGCAACCACATATTTTCTGATTTTCTAGAAACCAATTGGTGGGTGAATATACAGATGAAAGTAATATGCAGGTGGGCAAATTTTAGGGTGCAACAATATATAAAAGCAAATATATTTATATTCTTTAAAACAACTAATAAAGAGGATAAATATATTTAGAATTTAATTTTTTTTAATTTGAATTATGTGATGATTATGATGACGAAGGAAAGAAAAAGATTTATTTTTATATTTTAATTAATAAAATATTTGTGATTGATTGTTTGTAAAAATTACTTATGTTGTTTGTGTTAATCTAAAATTTTCCAATATAGAGACTATAGAGACATCTATTTATTGTTGATAAGTTATCATTCACTATACACAAGTTTTTTAACGATGTAGTATCATAAACAAAAAAGTAACACAAATCAAAACCTAAAATTCATCAATATTCAATAGTATCCTGTAGAGAATTAAAACAAGGAAGCATATATAATAACTTTATTTTCTCTCAAGGTGATACACTTGAAAGACAGTACAAGTTTCTGCAAAACTCTAACACTCACAAAACCTCAAATCAAGCCCATTACAACAATATTTGCACTCACCACACTTTAACAACTACATATTTCTTCTACCAGTATAAGAGATAAAGAAGAAAAAAAACTTAAAATCCAAATCTAGTTAGTTTGAGAGTAATCAAACTAAATTTAGTCACTGATAAACTCTACTAAGTTAAAATTATCAGAAATAACTAAGGGATGAAAAACTGTCCCCTAACATGATGATAACTTCAACATCTACTAGCAAACAAATGAAAGTGGAGAATCTTGAAGTGCAACACACAGAAAGATCTCCAAGTCTGGTGGTGCAAAAAAAGCCCTACGAAGAGAGAAATTTGAAAGCACTCTTTTCTTCTTTGGTGCAGGTGGACATGTTGAGATTTCTGGTATCCGAAACTTTTGACCTTTTGGCGTTGAACATATACTCTTACTTGTGGTGGAAACAGAAACATCATCAACAACCTTATCAGAATCCATGTTCCTGTCCTTGTTTTCAGATGATGTTTCTTGTTTTTTGCTCTCTAGATGTTGGTTCTTGAAGTGGCTGCTTCTTGTGAGTTTTCTTCCTTTTGTTGTTCTTGTCTTCTTTTTCGGTGTTGTCTTTCCTATAGGGACCATTTCTTGAGAGAGAGAGAGAGAGAGAGAGGTAGTTTAGTTTGTATTGGCGAGTGCTTTAAATTGTTGAAGTGATGTGTGAATATATATTTGACTGAAAAGTAGGTGTTGTAGAGAAGTCAAATTGTGATTCCTAAGATGATAATATTTTAGTATATTTGTGTAGGTGACACTACATAACAAAAGTAACTCCCTCCACTATAACATTATAGTGAAATAAGGAATCCAAGAGATGTTGATTTTGGAAAGAGGACTAAGCCAATGCATGCTGCTTTTCAAACATAGTGACTACATTAAAGAGGCCTTAGAAAATCTCTTGAGACCTTTAGGGTCACTTTATGATTTTGGAGATAGAATATTGAACCATGAATGTAAAATAATTAGATAAAAGTCTATTTATTGTTATAATCAAATGTGAATGGATAAATTTTATATCGATTATGAATTGATAAAATATTGAATTTATAAGAGTTTATTTATATACTTAATGTTAAAAATAAAAAATTGGATTCTCATTATTACTTGATCGAATTGATCATGTTAGAAATAAGGTTACGAGAATAAATTTATTGTAAATATTAGGCGATACATAATCATCTAAATTTATTTTTCAATATTTATTTGAAATTCATTAAATAAATTTTATTAGCTAGGTTTATTTTTCTACTTAATTTTCACAGGAATTTCAGTCCTAAACTCAGTTTCTCGAACCTAGACCTATCCCAATTTAGTTTTGAACATGAATGTTCACACCTACTCATCTGTATACAATATACCACTCATAAGATAGTAATTATCATTATCATCCATCATTAATTCGACATTATCTCATCAATTCATCATGCTTTTCTTCAACACATAATCTATGTATATGAACTACATCGTCTTTAATTTTATCAATACATTCAATCATACAAATTTCGTATCCAAAAACAGGTAATGACAAGTCACAACATTGAATCAACAATAGTAACTTAAGGGTTTTGCACAAACCCCTTCAAGATTCAAATTTCTCAACAATGGAGGAAGAGGGTTAGGATCCCTCGTATCTCTTACAATTTATATACACTCATTAGAGAATAATCTTCCCCTACCAAAACTTTGCAGAAAATTGATGTTCTTAGCGCTTGTTCTTTCGCTCTTCAAACTTTCTCTTTTTCAATTTTTCATATTTTCTATTCCAACCTCTCTCCTCTTTCTCTCCTTCTTTTTCTATTTAAAATAATCATATTTTTTATTCTTTTCAATATTTCTATTTTTCTCCCCCACTTTATGTATTCCTTCACTTTTTTCATCAAATTTCTCAATATCTCGTTTCTTACCTCAAATTTTCTTATTTTCTTATTTCTTTATTTAATTTAATTTTCTCTATTTTATTTTAATTAAGAAAATATTAAATAATAGTACAAATTTTATTCCGCCTCCTATAATACCATCAAAATATCCAAAACACACCAATAAATCAGATAATCATGTAATGACTCAATATAAAAGTTAAATTAAATTAATTAAATAAATTGGAGTGTTACAAGTCTAACATATAGAACCAATTAAATGTGTCAATTGAAGAAGGTCTTACATATAATTACATTAAATCTAGTTTGAAAGGTTCAGAAAGGTTATGGTGTGATTGAGCTATAAGTAAATTAAATGAGATAACACTTTATTCTTCAAAGGTTCACACGGAAAAAACCAACTATACTTCTTATTTACATTTACGATATTATTATTGCAAGTGATAATTTGATTGAGACAACTACTCAAAGACAAATTATTAGTTAAATTTAAGATGAAAGACATTTGGTAACTAATATATTTCTTGGAATTTGAAGTAGCTTATTCAAATCAATGCGTTTTTATCTCTTAGAGGAAATTTGTGCTTGATCAGCAAACAAAAAAACTTAGATGCAAACCTGCATTTGTTTTCATTGAGCGAAATCATAGCATGAGGCTTGAGGAAGAAAGTATCAAAATTGACAAGGAGTGATAATAATAGATATTAGCTTGAAGATGAAAGTATCAAAACACATACTAGATCAGACTTGATATATATGCATGATCTAATAATGAAACACTTTCAAGTTGTAAAACGTGTTTTATAATATTTTAAATTCATTTCATGGAGAGGAACCATTATTTAAAAGATGTGGAAGCCTCACTACATAGACTTACACTAATGTTGATCATCCAAGTTTCACAGAACGATAAAAGATCTACATCAATTTACTGTACCTTCTTGTGCAGGATTATAGTTTCTTAGATGATTCAAAAACAAAATATAGTTATTCAATCAAGCGCTGAAACGGAATTTAGATTTATGACACCGAGAATTTTTGAACTATTGTGAATGAAACAAATGCTAGGAGATTTAAAGGTATTGTGAAGGCCCTAAAAAATTATTTTGTGATAACAAACAGACCATTAATACCAACTAAGCGATTCAACAAACTTGCAATCTTAAGATTGATATTCATTAATCCGTTTGATAGAGTGTTGCTAATAGTCTTTTAATTTTACTTTATAATATTAATTTGAAATTGATCGAATGAGGCTTGTTTAATTTATCTTTCTCTAGTAAATTTGTTTTAAGGATTGTAAACACACTTTTCAATATATTAAAAGTCCTGTTTTGCAACAAGAATCTTTTGGAAGAGAGATAAAAATTTGTTTACCTTATTTGATAGAATGTTTTTGTGAAAGTTGATAAGGAATTAGTTTAAATAGGTGCAATTTCGATTTTGAGAGTATTAGAAAAAGATGCAAATCATCTAAATTTTTGTAAATCATTCAAAACTCCCATTCAGCATATTTTGGAGTTCGTCCGAATCCATAAAATTTTGTAAAATAAAGAAAAGTAAATCTCTCATTCATGCAATATCGAGGAATTTAGCTCCCATTCACCATATGTTTGGTTTTAAAAATTGCTTACCATTAGAAAAATTATAAGTCACTCTTGAAAAAACATTCATCGTACAATCAACGCAATATGTTTACCAAAATAATGACAAAAATGATTAAATTTAAAGTCTTATAGAACTTCCAAAAACTTAACATGCTGTCCATAACTTTTATTTTCGAAACTCAATTCTTAAAATTTAAGACGACATCATCGTCTAGAATTAGACCACCTCCAAGGGTGGTTTTTCAAATTGGTTGTCAGTTTGGCATTGAAATTGTCAACAAAAAGTTGCTTCAATTGATGAACGTTACAAACATAAGCAACGGTTCTTCATTTTTTTTATTATTAAAATAATCATTATTAAAATAATCATTTAGCCGTTGTGCAACGACTTTATTTTATTCTTTTTTAACTTTTTTTTATTTATTATAACTATAGGTATGTTGGAAAAATTGTATACCAATCCTATTTTCTCTCACTTTTATTTACTCTTTAATTTTAAATTTCTCTCTCACAATTTCATCATTTTATTTATAAATATTTAATTTTTTTCCAACAATTTCTTCTCATTATCATTTTATTATTTTTAATTATATGACATGTATTTAAATTTAATTTTAATTATTATTTTCAATTTTATGTTTAATTTTAATTTTATGTTTAATTTGTATTTATATTAATTAAAATTTAAATATTTAAATTATAATTTTAAATAAAATAAATTTAATATAAATAATATATTTTAAGTAAAGTGGTGGGATCCAATATGAGTTCTTTGGAGTTGCACCATTGGAGTGAAAATTAAATGAATTACTTTAAAAGAGTGGGTTACACAAAGAATCTAAAAATGAATTGCACCATTGGGGAGGTGCTCTTAGCTTTTATTCTCAACACCCAACTATTTACCCTATCAGTATTTATAAGCATTGCCCTAAAAAACAAGGGAAAATACTTTACCCACTACATCACTTTAGATGTACTTCTAAAAATAACAACTTTTTCAGGCATAAGTGCAGAAATAATACTTTCTGAGCCATGTGCAGTTATTTTTTTAGAAATGTTGGATGAGTAATGTGGCTCCCTAAATAAGAGTTCTCCAGATGAACAAGAGGAGTGTGAATTTATCACTCAAGGCTTTTTCTGTGCCTACAATTTTATTATTATGATAAATCAATATTTTTGTGCATTCACATTCAAAACTAAGGCTACAGCCTACAACTACTTCATGAAAAAAAATTAAAATTTATGTTAATTTTACTTGTTAAAAAATGTAATAGACATTTGAAATGAACAATTGTATACATTTATTTCAAAACAATCAAAATGTCAGAAACAAATATTTTTTTCTTAATTTTAAAAAAGAACAAGCTAACAATTGCCTCAAGGGCAATGTTTAAAGATTCTATAAAAAAAAAAAATTTTTGATTTCTCAAACAAAACTTTAAAAGCACTTGTTAATGTTTTCATTAAAAAAAAAAACTATCATCTTTTAAAATAAACAATTGTGATGGACAAGATAAAATGATAGTTAAAGATGATTCATTTTTTGAAATAAGAAAAACAATTATTTAAAAACATTTTCATTATTTTTTTAAAATGCACACAATTGTTTACTTCAAGAATCTGTTATCAATTTGTTAGCAAATAAAATTAACAAAAACTTTAGAAAGTAAATATAAAACACGTTCTCACAAAACAAACGGCCCCTAATATTTTGTGATGAATTAGAGGCTCGGCACAAAGGATGGCATAAACAGTTTAGAGCCTCATGTCATGTCAGTCATATATATTCATGACCAGAAAATACACCTGGACGCATTTAGAAGGCATCATTTAGCTGTAAAAAACAAAACATTATTTAGGTTCAAACAAAATTGAGTCATCTGTTTTCACTGAAAAGAGAACAAGCAATTTATGAACCACAAAAGCTAGTTTAAAAGTTACTAAATACGCACGAAAACTAGAAACACCCTCAAGCATTACCCCTCAGCACTTTGGTTACCCATAAAACTCCACTTTTTGTCACTGCATCAGAACCACAATCAAGTTGAAACAAAGTTCTAAAATCGACACTGACTACTCATATGGCACAAACTATATAGCCTGTAAATCTACTTTTGAGCTTCCAACTTACAAGAAAATAATAAACTTTGGGGGAGGTAATGGTAACCGGGTCAGGAGTGCTTACAAAATTGAAAAGCTTTACACTGCTCTGACTGGTTGAAAAAAATAAAACCAAATTGATGCACCTGCAAATGGAAGCATTTAAAAAGCATTAATGAATTGGACATATTAGAATAGAATAGAACATGTTAAAAAACCTTCAGGGAAACAACACACTAGAACAAAGCAGAGCAAGTGGAAGAAAAATTCATATTTATCCCGTACATAGAATGACCGTTGTAGCACTTACACTTGTGAACAAAGGCGTGTCCAGTGTCCAACACCCACACATGTTACTACGTTCAATTTATTTGTTTTTCCAAATTATCACTAGTGTCAACATGTGAGTATCGATATCGTGTCAAGTGTCCGTATTTGTGCTTCAAAGAGAATGACAACCAACTTTATGCAGACTTAATTCCATTTCTCAATTGCATATCTTAGAATTTAGGTTTTTGATCTAACTCAATCTTACAAAACCGACTTATAAGATGAGAATTGCCCCCACTTATAAACATTCAAGGTAAGACTCTTAGCAGCATATATAATAACTTTTGCTTGTAACCCTATTAAAATAATATGTAGAAAGGATTTTCTAGGAGATAATAAGTTGTTGAAGTAAACCGCTGAAGCATACCGTTTTGGAAGCTGGAAGCAGAAGGAGAAACTTATAAGGTGATCTAAAAGGAAGAACTGATTGATTTAACTATCACCAAAAGATATAATCTGCCCAAGTGCAGTTCGCGCTCGAAGCTGCATCAACAAAAGAAAATTTACAAATTGACCAAGTATTGAAAAAAAACAACTTGATATGAAGATTAAAGGACCTTAACATCCATGCAAGGGTCACTGGCCATCCTCTTGATTTGAGAAACAATGCCAAAACTGCGCAGTTTTGCAATCCGACCAATTGCACCGGGACTTGCAGGAGCAGTGAGATTTACTATAATCCAAGCAGCAGATGTGCGTAGACGGCTGTCATTATTGTGCAAATACTGACTCAAGAAAGAGTGAGATCCACTTTCTCCTTCTGGAAAGAGAAGCCGCATTATGGCTTGTTTATGAAACTCGTTTCCACTTGCAATATTGCTGACTGCGTACATCCCCTAAACAGGAAAAAAAAATCAGCATGGAGAATAAATTTTCAATCTGATGGCTGTTTTCGTTTTCAAATATCTGCTGGGGTAAATTTTGTTTACTTTTAATACCTGCTTTTGAGATATCTTAGAATACTTGTAGGTATGAGGCAATTTTAATTAAACGACTACAACAGTAGTTTTAATTTGTATTACACCATAAGCATCGGAAATTTTATATCCATATCAAATATTATTAAAGGCTTGATAGATGTATCATTAAAACATATTATGAAAGGATCGGTGAGCAAATTGGGGAAATTTATTGAATAATTCATTCTCCAAATTTGGATATCAATGCCTATTGTTATGAATAACTTCTAACAACGTCTGATCAGTTTCAGAAATTGTTTCCCACCTGTATAATGATTTCAACTCTTGAGGATTTTTTCAATTGCCTTTCAACAGCATCCAGTATGATACCATTTTCAGCAAAAGCAAATTCAACACAATCCATACATCCATCAACAAAATTGCGAACAAGGGCCAAAGCTTGGTGTTGAACACAAGGCTCTGGATCTGCAGAGTATACAGAACGAATAACAATTTTTTATTTCTGACCAATGAGAACTTTCTTTTGACAGGCACCAATTAATCAGAAATGGGATGACAGAAGATTATTACCACAGATAAGGCTAGCTACTGAAGAAGCAGTCAACTCCATAAAAATTGCTTCCTTGCACATCTTATCAGCGAGAAATACCATGTTCCGCAAGGACCACACAGCATTCAACCTTAAAGACGAATCCATAGACTTCGTCAAATGGACAAGCTCTTTAATGCCACCGCATTGTATGAATGTTGACTTATTTGGTGTAAAGTCCACTACTATGTTGCTAATAGCACCAAGGGCTGCAACCTGGAAGACAACATTGAAATAGTTATGCTTACTAACTTTAACAGAACTAAGAACTAATGAGTAAAATCTCTGTAAATACGGTTAATAAGGAAGTATAACTTTTGGGAAAGAAATGAAGCATTGGGGAGAAGAGTTCATGTTTGAACCAATAAAGGTACAGCTTATAATTATCATTAATAAAATAATAAGTTAGATAAAATATATGGCCTTTGTGATACCCTTATTTTTAGCACAGGATACAACTTATAATTATCATTAATAAAATAATTGGATAACATATGGCCTTTGTGATACCCTCATTTTTAGCACAAGATTCAACACTGCTAGTGCTCAACAGCTCAGTTTGTTCAACAATATGCCAAATTGACAACAAGATCCAAATAACATTAAAAGGAAAAATACAGTCAATCAAAACCGATCAGCTGAATTATGAATGCCATTGTCCAACAGTTAGTCCAATATTAACATTTTAAGTCAGCCCCTCCTACTTAGCATCAATTACAATACTTTCAAATTCAATCCTAAGCTTTCAATCTTCAGTACTAACTCAAAATTATTTATAAAATAAAATAAAGTCAAGCATGCATTATCAACAATAGACTATCAACAAATGTCAAAGAGTGGATAAATGATGACAACTTCATAAATAAAACAGTGTAACTTTTAAGATGAGTGGTGGTACAAAATATAAACACAAATGTTCCAGAAATCACTGAAATCCTAATTGAACATGTCTTTCAAATTATGTTGAAAACAGTTTGCTACACCTTCCTAATGGCATATCACTCAACCATACTAACTAATTAACCAAGTGGTCAAGCAAAAAACTTGATCTCTGAACTAATTCAATTTCAAGCTTTATCTACATGAACAGGCAAGAGAATAGTGCCAAATTATATATCTAAAAAGGTACATATCAAACTGAACTTTAACTTAACCCTCAGATTTTGTAAGTTTAGATTTCAATCACTCAGCACGACTGGCAGATTCATTTATGCATTTCTTAATGAAATAAAGCTACAAAGGACTAACTTTAACTTTAATACAAGAAAAAAAAAGTATAAATATGATTAGTCGTACTTGGACAGAAGTGCAAAGATCTGAGAGAAGTCGGACTAATGGAAGGACAATCCTTTCATTCATGAAATAACCTGCACTCAAATTCTGAATGGCATTTTATGAGAATAAAGCTATAAATAACATAAAAGATATGAAATCTTATTAGTCACAAGTAGCATACCTTGATTGAGCGTGAGACAGTTTTTAAGCAAATGCAAGCTGCAGTCCGCACATTGGCTTCATCATGGGTTAAGGCATTAATTAATAGATTTAAGACCTGTATTCAGAAAATGTGTAATACGAGTAGTAAGTGGACTTAGTATCTGAGTACATGGTTTACCAATGCAAATTTTGCCATTACAATATTGAATACTTATACAGCCACAAAATTATCATGCATCTGGAAGAGAAACACATTGAATTAATTCACACAATTTTGGTGCCATGAAAGACAACAACAAAATTATATTATCAACAGTATTCAATTCAGTACCATAACCCCTTGTCAACAATCTAATTAAAGGTTTGATCAAAAAAGGTAGTCAAATTTCAGTCTTTGTGCCAGACTTTGCATTACAAATTTACAATGAAACAATCATAAATAAGTAATTAGCCGAGTGGTATGTAAACAGGATATCACAGTTATATCGTTTCTGCTGAAAATATAAGCAAAGACTATTTACATGTAAACTCTTTACACATAATCTAAGCATGTGCTGCTAGCAAGAATATAGTATGTTTTAGAAACCTTAGCACGGATCGTAAGACCCTACTAATTAGGAAAAAGTCTATACTTAAATGTATAGTTATTATATAAACATGCATAAAAATTATCATAGATGCATGAAAATATAAACATGCATGAAAATATAAGCAAAGTCTATATATATATATATATATATATATATATATATATATATATATATATATATATATATATATATATATATATATATATATATATATATATATATATATATATATATATATATAAGAAAATAATCCATAAATAATAATATTAAACTAATAGTGATGCCGGTACAGTTGAAGAAAAATATAGTTTAACTGCGGGCCATAACAACAAAGCCCCCTAGAAAAATAAAGGAAAGAAAGAGAGGAGAGGAATTGGGCATGCTTGGCCCACTTAGAAAACCCTAATTGTACTGATGGTTGACTTGAGAGGAGCAAAGTAAACAGTTTGGCCATCACCACCATCACACAAAACATGGTTCTGAGTTTTCTCCAGAACCCGACCCGGATCCATTTCAAACTTCAATTAAAAAAATAGGATTCTTTGTGAAAAAGAAACAACGGGCCAGATTTCTAGAAATACAGCAGCAAGTTGACCCTGATTTCGCTGCAATTTTTATGATAGTGCAACGATCCTGCCACTCCCAATCCCATGTGCTTGGAAGATTGAAGGATCGTGCGATGTTACAAGGTGACTCGCGCTCCTGCTAACATTGCTAAAGACACTTAAAAAAAGTTTGGCCCATTTAATTGTGTAAAACATAACACAAATGAAAAGTAATAATAATGAATAACAGTTTAAACCCGCGTGTCTGATTCAAACTGAATCTTAAAACCCATTAAAGAGTGGCTAATGCTTAAACTAAAACTGATATGAAAAATAACTTCAGGCCCATCTAGTCTTGGGAAAGAAGACATATGCTTAATGCTTCTCACGTGTTCTACAAAATAAAGAGAAACCGTTCTGTTGAAAGCTAACTTCAAGTTATTTAGTATCAGGATTCCTAACTTGTAACCTGCTTATTATCTCAGACCATGCATCTCTGTCACCTCTCACCCATCAATATGATTGTGTGAACCATGGTAGTTAAAATCCCAATTTGAATCGTAAAATACCACGATTTTGCAATTATGCTTTCCCACGGCGATTATGAGCATCTTTGTCAAAATCTCGATCTAAATCTTAAAAACTTAAGATTTTACAATCTAACTCGCCTCCAACGATCCAGATCTCAAGTAGAATCGTGTGATGTAGTTAACTTGTGAAAAGAATTGTAAAATCATTGATTACGAGCGATCTTGGCCAGTTCCGGCCATGTTCGGCCGTTTTTCGGACACCGCCAAGATGAAGAGGCGCAACAATTACGGTTCGGCGGTGAAGAATGCATGCCTTTTGAAATGATGATGTTTTAGTTTTAGGGTTTACAGAATAAACATATCGTAGTGTTTGTTTTAAATTAGACTTATGATAAACAAAGCAATGGACCAAATATGTCCCTAATGTCTAACAAATTCATGTGATAAATGGTATTAAAGTACAAAAACTCAATCATACATGTCTAAAGAATATGATAAAAAAAAGAAGTCATTTTTCCACTAATACACTTGCCTACCAAAACATCATGTAAAATTCATCTTTGAAACGATTATGCTAATGAACAAATGAATTATAATTTATATGAATATTTGAAGTGTGATTTAAGGTTTTAAATAACTTGTGAGCTATGCTTATGAACTTAAATTTACACAAGTATTTCAAGTGATTTAAAGTTTTCCATGTCGTAGTAATCATGGTTGTCAAGATCTTAAAATCCTAAGACTTTACGACCTCACTCACCACCAACGATCCAGGTCTTAAGTACAATTGTGTATTGTAGTAAGATCGCTCCAAAATCATAACCTTGACAAAGTTGATTGATTTTGCGCGATCCCGGCCAGCTCTGGCCATAATTGGCCCTTTTCCGACACCACCATTACAAGCTGAGAAGGATGACAAATGCAAATGCACAACAATTATGATTTGGTAGCGGTGAATGCATGCCTTTTGAAATGATGAATTTTTAGATTTAGAGTTTAGAGACTAAACATCTCAGTTTTAGGGTTGGTTTTAAATAACGGGCAAAATATGTCCCTAATGTCTAAAAAATGTTGATTGCGGAAAATGATAAGATATAAAAACACAATCATATGAATATGAAAGAGGGTCATTTTCCCAAATACACTTGCCTACCAAATATTGTGTAAAAATATTTAAATATATAGTATTATTTTTTGTTTTAGTGGGATCTGACAATTTTTGTTACGATTTTATATTTTCCGATCTTGCTACCCTCCTCGGTCTTACCAAAATAATTGGGTAGGATCTTCCGATCTTAGACACGATCTTATGTTTTACGATCTTGCTACCCTCTCCCGATCTTACGCAAGATCTCGATCTTGACAACTTTGGTAATAATGCTATTTTATATGCATATATATGAAATTATATGCATAAACATGAGTTTTAGAATTTTGTATAATCTTACAATTAATGTCACGATTTACGATTTTTCCCCTTTCCGATTTTGCATAAAAATCTCGATTTTAACTACCTTGGCGTGAACCCAATCATAAGGTGATAAAAGAAAGGATAACTACAGTTTTTCTTTTTTTTCATCGGTTACTTTTGCAGCAAAGAACACGGTTGCATATGAAATGGGGAGGGGGATTACAAAAATGGTTATTAGTAACAAATACATGAAATTTGATAGTAGTGTCCATGAAATGAAACAACAAACCTGCAATGACATAAACCTCGCCCTGCAGCATTCAAGTTTTGAGCAAAGATCGGCCAGTGCTAGAAATATCCCTTCAAGACGTTTGGGATGTAAATCACAATTTTGCAAGTGATTGTAGAATTTGTCTATAGCATTTGCCTCAAATGCTAACTTCTGCAAATCTTCCTTTCCAGCAACTAAACTCGAAAAAGCAAAGGAAGCCTCTTCTCCAACTTGACCAGAATCATCAAGGAGCTCAAGCAAAATATATATCAATTTGGTTTTGATTGCTATGTCTTGCAGATAGCGCGATGAAGAATTCTTTATACAGATTAGGCACAAGCAGGCCAGCAACCTTGTCCGAGAGTGTCGGTCCTTGGTTAATTCAATTACAGAACGCAGCGCACTTCCATTTTGAAGTTCCGCAAACTTGGCGACAGCTGCTGGATTCTTTTTAAGAATTGTAGCTATGGACTCTAAACTAGCATCTCGCTGGTTTATTGAACCATCAAGACCACTAATAAGTTTCTCTAAAGAGCCAGCATCAGATAATATATTTTGTTCATCCCTTGTCTGACAAGAATGAATAACAATGCCTGCACCAAGTCCAGTAAGATTTTCATTCTCACTTCTCAATAGTGAAAGAAGAAAATCCATGTTTTCTTCCTTGTGAAAATCAAATTTCGGAGCCAGTTTTGACTGATAGATCATTCGTAAAGAGCGCGCAGCAGCATCCACTACCTGAAACCAAGGGGAGAAAGGTTTGTTAGTGTTAAGTTGAATACAACTTCTTTCCTGTTCTTGTTCTAACCTCTGTAGCACCTACACCTCTAAAAAAAAGTGTGTCCGTGTCCAACCGACATCAGCACTTGTGATTACGTTTATTTTATTTATTTTTCAAATTATTATAGGTGTCGACGTGTCAGTGTTGGTTTCTTGTTTCCCGTGTCAATGCTTCATAGGCTCTAACTAGTATATATACAACAACAGTGTATGTGCATTTAACATTGATCGATGCCAATATAAACAGTGCATCAAATAACTTTATCTGCATTTCCTTCTTTTTTTTTAAACTGTAAAGGAACATCATTACATTACATCAATCATCAAAACCTAATTAAGATCCTACCAATTCTGAGCATTGCAGTTTCATTTTCATCTTAAACACAAATTTCTAATCAAATAAAATAGGCAAGAGATCGATAGTAATTAAAAAAAATAAACTCTGCAATGAATCGAATTCACCTTCTCATCGGCGACAGAGAGGAGCCGAATTAAATGAGGAAAAGCTCCGGCGTCCAGGACGGCGTGAACACCTTCATCGACGCCACAAGCAAAGCTACCGAGAACAGCGGCCGATTGAACTATAAGATTGGCACCGGAATCGGAATCAGCGTTTGCTTCAGCGAGAGCAAGGGCGACGGAGGGAACGACTCCGAGCTTGATGAACGAGAGTTTTTTGGTACGGTTACCAATAATCTGATTCTTAACTTCTCTGATAGCTTTGAGCTTGATTTCATATTCGGAGGAGGAGAGACGGTGGAGGATTTGATCGGATGAAGGACGAGTAGCAGGCATAGTGACGGCGGAGGAAGCTCATGCACGGTGGAGGAGTTGGCGGAATAACCTCCACATTCAACAGCTACGACGCCGAGATCTAATTTAATTTTTATTTTTTATTATTTCTTTAGAAATTCTAATTTCTTTTTATTTGTTTTTGCGATGGTGGAATATGAAAAAATGTGAGAGGTTTTTCTTTTTTATTTATGGTTGGATTTGGATATAGAAGATGGATATTGGTAGTGTGTATTTTAGTCTTTAAATTTTGACTTATTTGGAAGTTTGTAACATTAGAAAGTGGCGCTCTTTTCTTTTAAGTTTCTAATTATTTCATTTTTTTAAATTAAATTTTAGATTGGCTTAGTGCTATGAACTTGAACAATTTTACACTATCAATTAAGTAACTTCGTGCATTCTATCATATTAAATTATAAATTTTAAAATTAATTATATGACATGACAGATTAATATATTTTAATTGAATAACAGTGTAAAATTATTAATATATTTTAATTGAATAATAGTGTAAAATTATTTTACATTTTTAGTGCATATATATATTTACATTGCAATGAAAAGAAATAAAATAGAAAAGATTTTTAATTTTGTTAGATTCGTAGATGTTAAATATGAGAAATAGCGGGATAATTAAAGATATTTGATTTTGGTTCTTACAAGACTATGGCCAACATTTTTAAATTTGAGAAGTCTAATAGAAAGATTTTCAATGGAAGAAACTTTAAAGCGAAGCTCTACACAACATCAACGAAGAAGGACCATGGAAATGATTTCAACAATACCATATGTTTTACAAATGGAAATGATTTCAACAATACCATATGTTTTACAAGGAAATAACATGGCATTGGGATTAAAGGTATGCAAAAGCAATTAATTATATAAAGGCAAAGTAGTACATGGAAGAACGTCGAGTTTGGAAATTTGAGAAAAATGAATGTGAAGGAAATGTTAGGGATGGCATATGCTTATCATTAACAATTAAAGACAGAAAGATATCACGGCTAAGGCGAGCTTCATTGGATCATTAGAAATGCAAAAGGGATTTATGCAATTCAACAACGTGTTAAAAAAGGCATTGCTTCTATAAAGATTGTTTTATTGGGAGGTGAAAAGGTGTTTATAAAAGCCGGCGAAAATAGGACTTTTAAGATGCTTATAAAAATTTTAAAAAATTCATTTAGCGTGAGTTCAATTTCATTGAAGAATGGGAACCGAGAAATGTATAAGGCGCTTATTTCGTGTGGGTCAAAGTCCATGGGGTACTTATACATTTTGGAGAAGGAAAGCATTTTCCTTATTGACCTTATCTTTTGGCAGATTAATTAAAGTGGACGTAAGAATAGAAGAAATGGAAAGATTGGATGTTTTGTGCCTATTTATTGGTGGACGTTATAAAAAAAGTCACTAAAACTCAAATAAATAAGGAAAGTGTTTCAATTCGAATCATGGAAGAATTATGCAATTGTCACTTAGAGGAAGAAGTCATTGAACTCGAAGATAGTTTAGAAGATAAAGATGATAGTTCTATGGTCGGAATATTATTTCATCCCTCCATCAATGAAATTTTGGAAGATAGAGAGTATACAGAAAATAAAATACAATTATGAGCATATAATTAGGGGGTAGAAAAATCAGAGTCATTGAATGCGCTGGTCACTAAAGACGTTCAAAATATTCTAAGTGAATGTGAAGTGACGCATAAAAAAGAACAATGAGGTCCAAATATTTTAGGAAACACAAAAGTTGGCATGATATGAATTAATGAAGAGGAAGACAAATATCATGAACATGTGGATAGTAGATTAGCACTTGAATATGGCAGTAGTAATGTATAGTTGACCATGTAAATAAAATGATTTTTCAATAGAGTCAGCCCGCATTCAAGACCACGTTGACATGAAAAAATTCAATTAATTAATCAAAATGTTTATGCCTTAAATAGGCCACAATGGACCGCAAAAACACAATGAAAATTCAATAAAGCAATAGATTGACTCAAGACCAAAAACGTGTAAACACAAAAGCATTTATCATACCACACCAGACACATAGAAAGATCACAGATATTTGAAACTATGGTGGAAGGCAATGGAGATAAAGAAAATTGAGTGAACATAAAGGGCAGAGATGAAAATTTTAAAGAATAAACAACCTAAACATCAAAATATAGAAAGAAGAGGAATATAGTAATTCTGAAAGAAAATAAGATAGCCATGAAAAGAAGAAAAAAAGAGATATCAAATTGCAATTGTATGTCAATATTGGCTCAAATATGCAACCAGTGTTCTAAAACACAAGATAGGATATATTTTATTCAATTATTTTGGCCTCCCAATAAGTGTAAATTTGAGATCAAAGAAGACATAGAGACTTGTAATTGACGCAATAAGATCAAGACTTTCAAATTAGAAATATAAACATTTGTCGATTGGTTGCTATTATAAAATAAATCTTATTATCCATCTCAGTTTATTCAATCTCCTTTTTCAAGGCTCATTCAGGTATTATGTCTAAAATCAAATATATTTTTATCTAATTTTTATGGAGATGTAATGACGATGAGAGAACAAATCAGCTAGGTTAAATGAGATAGGATTTGGAAGCCAATCAAATAGAGGGTCTAGGAATAAAAAAATATAGTGTTTTCAACAAATCTCTCCTTAGTAAATGATTTTGGAAAACAAGAATCGAGAGGAATGTGCTTTGATATAAAGCTTTGGTTAGTAGATACGAAGAAAATGTGGGTGCCTTGTGTGAAGGTATCATAGACAAATCATCATAGTGGAGTGTCATCATGGTGGAGTGTCATTTGTTATTTAGGTATAAGTCGAGATAGTCTATAAGTGTATTCAGTTAAAAAGAGTTTTAAAAAATTGATATTGAAGAATAGTACAAAGTCTAACTCATGTTAGTAAAAAGTTTGCACATATCGATATCATCAAAAGTATCATGTCTAGTATGGATAATTCGATCATAATAGATTACCCACACAAGATAATTTGCTTGTGAGATGCGTCAATGATCATGAATCTCTTTAATGTATTGGCGAGTGTGGATACAAAGAATCGATTTCTCATCTTTTTTTTAGCGTATGACTTTTGCAAGTATTTGGTATTTTGTTAGCAATTGATTTGGTTTTTATGCGGTTTTTCAAAAGGGATATTTGGTACATCTAGAGCAATTTGAAAACTTAACTTGAAGTTAAAGATCTTTCTTTAATATAGCAAGGATAGATTGTCTTTCTTCTATTTTGAGCATCTAAAAAGCAAGAAATGATAAACTATTTGATAACAATGTTGTCTTAGTGAAGCAAAATCGAATTTGTGAAAAGAAGTTCTCGGAACTAGGTTAATATCAAATCAAAGTGTTTAGATTATTGTTTATTTCAATGATACTAGAATCTCATAGTTTACTTCGGTTATGTGGATGGGAGAGGTGTTTGGAGTTCCTTTTATCTTTGGCTAGTTATTGACATAACAATTTATATTACTAGGTGGTAACACCTTCTACATAATGGAGTATAGGGTCATTTCATATTCTAAAAGTATATGGAGATTTTGAAAATCTTGATTGGTAAAGATGTTATAGACACAATGCATAAGACTCACATTGATGAAAAAAAATATACTTTTATATAAGTGATTTCTAAAGCAATAAAAAAAAAACATGTCAAAAGATTTCGGTTATATAACACTAGATCAAAGGATAATAAACTTACATAATTAGTTGAATTCTTTTTTTTTTTCTGTTTTTTTTTTTCAGATTTAACACTCAACTTTGTGCTTTTTTTCCTTCTAAAATTAATCCTTAATTATGTACATTTTTTTTTCTTTTTTATAATATATGTTTTTATGTTTTTAAAGAATATATTCTAAAAGCATACTCATTCTCCTTATAAAAGAAAACATACTTTAAAATCAATTTTATTCTTTAAAAAAAATATAATCATGTTTAATCACATCACTTAGTTGGTAGCTATCTAGTTATAATGACACAAATCCGAATTTAAATATAAAATTCGATTCAATACTACTTTTAAAAAAACATTTATTTATATATTCTCCTAATGCATTTTTTTTCTTTATTAAAAGGAAAATATGTAGCAAAATAATTTTATAACTATTATATATTTTTAAAATTATTTTTTTTAATATATTTATAGATTAGAAATAAAATTATAATTAATTTTCTAAATTAATATGATTTTTCTAATTAAGTTATTTCTTACAATGAATTTAGTCAATTATAATTGAAAGAATCAAATTAAAAAACAATATCAATTTAAAAATATTATATAACTTTTTTGCTTAAAAGTATATTTAAAAATTCATAAATAGTTTAGACATATCTTAAATAGTTATATCAATAAAAATAATAATAAAATAATAATAATACTTAAAGAAAACAAATAAAGGCCTACATTATTTAATATTTATTAAATTAATTTATGATTTAAAAGTTTAAATAATTTTACTTTTCTAAAATGTGTAAAATTTAATTTAATAAGTATATTGATAAAAATAAATAATAACCAATGTTATAGTCTAATCATATGTTGATTTTTTTAAAAAGTGAATAAAAGACCTAACTTGAAAATAGTGACATCTTTTGTTAAGTGGAGTATCTATAAAGAATAATAGTAGAGTATAGCAAAAAATTTCAAACATATTTTATTGCTTAAAGATTCAAATGTGAGTTTATGTTAGTTGCTAATAAGATTTTTAAAAAATTGTGAAAACTAATAAAATAATTAAAACCACTTTAAAAGAATTATTTAGAGTTCAATCATAGCAGTAAAAGTGATGTGGGACAAAGAACAACGACAATCAAATAAATAGACTAAAGCAGTACAATAACCTGGCAAAAGTGAAAGCAAAACCACAACATATCTAATATAACTTGTATATACAACTATGTTACTTGTATACTAAGTAGCTAACATAACTAATCAAAAATCTAACTAACTTGAGATTGGGCTACAACTTGGATTATATCAC